TGGCCTTGCTTGCCCTGCTCTGTATATATAATACTGACCCAAAGTTTCAGGAAAACCAATGTTTTGGGGACAGAAAAGGACAACTGAAAAAGTTGTCGAGTGGAATGCAAATGAGATTCGCTGAAATGTCAAACAAAAAAAACGTGTCTCGGAAACATTGTGAAGGCTGTGGCAGCAGAGTGAAGATATGGTCTGGCACCACCTGTACTTGGCCCATACGTTGGCCGTGGGCCCTTTTCGGATATACGCGCCGAATCTTTCGGGGCCTCACTGGCGTCCAATCCCTGTGCCTCCCGCGCCCAATCCCTCTGCCCAACCTCCTCCAAGAGAAAAGAAAAGCACGTCGGTAATTTTGGTATCGATCACTGGGGGCAAGTAGAAAGTAGAAAGAAGCCCCACTCACCTGGACTGTGTGTTGCTGACCCTTGGTTGGTCCAATCTGGGGCCCAGAATAAAGAATCCTGGGCAGTTTAGTTACCTAAAAAATATGTCAGTACTTTTTCCTATGATCAGTTTTTCTCAGCCGAAGCCGGGTAATGGCCCTGGTACCTCAGATTGTTGTGTACCAAATTCCTATGGGATGCTGGGCCCGGTTCCCAGCACGTGCTGCTCCCCAGGAATAGAGTGGGGAGCATTGTGTTGATTTTTTTTTGGTTGAAAAACCTCTCTGGTGTGACCCTACTAAAAGTTGTGTTCGGTTCTTCGATAAAAAGAACTTGCCCAAGAAAGACGACCAGGTTCGTTGGGATTTGGGATGCGAAGCTGCTATGCGGGCCTGGTGAGGCTGCTGCCGCCGGTCTGCACAGGAGCCGCAGTCAGCTGTGGCGTACCGTGTGCAAGGTGGTACAGAGGGGGCTCACAAAGCGGCCGAGCTTTGGCGATTTTTTTTTTTCATTTCTCATTTCCTTTTACAAAAACTTTTATTCTCATTTCCTGTGACAAAAACTTTGGAAAAGACCATCCATGGGTAACGGGAATGTCCTACAGTGACAGGAAAGACGTTATAAGATTAGAAAAGAAGACAAACGATATGCATATGGTTGCCCCTCCTTGCTGCGACACAGTAGGCCTGACCATTCAGATCGGGAAGGCCACGGTCACCGTCTGTATAAAAACAGGTTCAGCAGAATAGGGCTCACTGAGCTGATTGTTTAGACCACAAGTACTTCCGAGGCACTTTTCTCCGGGGTCAAACGCCCTGCACGGGGCCTCCTTTTGGCCGGCGGTGCCAGCCATTTGGCTCCGGCGGCCGAGCCCCAAAAGTTGCACCTGCTCGCAAGCCGCACATTTTATTCTCTGGCTGGTAAACGTACTGGTGGTTTAAACCGCCAGTACCTTTCCCATGTATTGGTCGCGGGCCCTGCGCGCCAATATTACGGGATGTATCTGGTCGGCGCGCGAGGCCGGGGCCGGCCTCCGTGTTAACCACCGGACATTTGTTTTTGGCCTGGGAAAGGTACTGGCGGTCTTAAGGGCCAGACCCCACTGGTGCCCCGTTCCTTGCTAAGAAGGCATGGAACCTGGCTAGCGTAGCGCAAACATGTACGCAAGTGGGGCGTGTCCCTAAGTTTGTCAAGTACTGCGTGACATGTCTAGGTAAGCGACACTTTCGCTGGTGCACATGGATCCGCGGTCAGGTTTGGCAGATGGGGTGTAGCGTCCTGCGGGGATTCACAAAATGTTCGAAGCCCCAGCTTTGGCAATTTTTGATTCTCATCTTGACCAAAATTTCTGAAAGAAGATCCAAAGGATGTACGATAGGTTCTGCTGCTTTGTCGGGGAAACAAGACAGAATTCATCCATGAAAAACGTTGTGGTTCATACTTCAAACACCGTGTATCGTCACTAGCAACCGGGTAGGCACATCCACCCTTTCAGGCTGTTAAGGCCACGGGCCATGTATATAGTATATACTATATGTATCGTCAAACAAAGCTTCCCGGTAAACCGTAGGCAGAGAGGGAAGGAATCGAGGACAACAAACGAGGGGGGCTGTGACAAACTGTTTCATCGGAGTTTCACCGACTCATCAGGAGGCTATATAATCATGCTAGCAATTAAGTATTATACAATCTAATTATAGAGAAATGGACACAAACAAGGTCCACTGCACTGATGGTTGAGAGTACCATGGCCTGCATACCTACCTTGAAAAAAAAAAAAGGCGGCGTGCGTTTCCCAGCCAAACAAAAAAAAAAAGGCGGCGTGCATGCAGCGGCAACTTTTGGGGCTCGATCCTCTGGAGCAAAGTGGCTGGCGGCGCCAGCCAAAAGGAGGTCTGCACCGGTTTGTTTGTTTTTTTTTGGCGCGCGGGGTGTTTTCAGCCATGGAGAACAGAGCCCCGGAACTGCTTGTGTGGTATAATTGCTGAACCCCTCTGTAGTCTGGCCCTGGGCTTACCGTCATGGGATGTCGGGTCTACTGGAGGGCTGAGGAGGTTTTAGGCGACCGGGCAGGCCAAACCAACTTAATGGCATTTCGACACCAGGATGACCCTAGGAGGGAGGGTTAATGACGCAGTGGGGTGGTGTTCCGATCCATCAAGCCTGGCGTCTGGGGTTTGGTCTACGGGGGCCCGAACCAACTTGTGGCCTTCCCTGTATGGGTTTGGGTCTACTGGGGGCCGAGGCAAGGTTGCCTTCAACCACCATGATGCCTGGTGGGGGTATCCAAAGGAATACCTGGCGGGCATCCAGAAGGCTGTGGAACAGATTCATTGAGCGGCAGAAAGGCTGCCTGGCAGGCGTGGATTTGAAATCTGCCCTCACACAGCCAAATATCACCACAAAACCATCATCGCAGGTTCGGTCTTGCGTGCGTTGTTTCTTTTTCCTTGTTTTTTTCCCCCTTCAATCCGCATCGTCGGTACTGCTTGCCCCACCGGTTGGGCAACCTTGCCTTTGAGCCCACCACTGGACCTGCAGGCGTGGATGCTGGTTGCAAAACAGGAGTGATGGTTTTGGCCGCCACTGCATGTCGGAGGGAAACATCATTAGGTCCTCGCACTACCGGTAGGACGTTTTCTACACAGCTGCGGACGCGATTGCGTCAGGTTCGTCTTTGTCGAAAAGCCGTCAGTGCTGCCAGAAACATGTAGGGAAGTTCTAGTGCGAGTATCCCCTTAGAAGGAGAGAATCGGTGTACGGAATGAATACAGGAGCGAATGGTGCCCAGAGATGTTCATGGGACACAGAGGAAAAAAGGATGAGGGCGACATAACTGTCGTTCCTCGTGGCCCTCTTATCAGTCTGAGCACTGAAAAAACGAATGACTGTAGCCAGGTTCACTCAATGATGTGATGTAGCAGTTACTTTTCTTCTCCATGGCCCTCTTTCTTTCCGATTCTATCCAGATGCATACGGACCTGACTGTTGCCAGGTTCATTCAATGATGTGATGTAGCAGTTACTTTTCTTCTCTTGCTTCACAATGATTTAACTCCATTTTTCTTTCGCTTCGTTTATCTGTCCTGCCTGTCTTGACCGTCAGTGCAGAGGGTTGTGAGAAACGCTCATTTCCGTTTCTGTCAGCCTCCTAATGTCCTTGTGTTTCTTGTGTTTCTTGTGTTTCTTGTGTTTCTTGTGTTTCTTGTGTTTCTTACGGCCTTGATGTATCATCATCGAAATGAGCGGCCCCATGTAATTAAGAGTTAGTTAATTTGGTTAAGGATTCAAATTTCGAACTCAGGACTGTCATCATCTTTTACATGGGCCTTTGAGGTACCATCATTATACATCTACCCCAGGGTAATTAACATCTACCCTAGTTTATTCGGGCAGGATTTGAACTGAGGAGGACCGTTTATCGACAGTTAGACGGGTGTACCATTCAGCCACAAAGGCTGGGTATTTCGCTATGTTTCCCCTCTTTTTTGTGTGTGTTATATATCGACGGTATATATCGTCCAACAGAACTGCCTAGTAGAATTACCCTTTGAAAGGAAGAAAAAAAAAAAAAAACGGTAATCCGCAGGCAGAGAGGGAGAAGAGGACAACAAACGAGGGGCTGTGGCAGACTGTTTTGAGGACAAACAAGGAAAGAAAAAGTGCCTCCTGTGAAATCAGCAAATGATACAACCTGTGAAGTTAGTATTGAGGAGAAAAAGCCAGTGATGTTGTGAAGTCGTAGACTCGGCGCTGACGAGAACTTTGTCATTGCCATCTTATGGGGGTGTTCTGTTGCAGAATTGCAATTCCACGGAGGGCCTGCGTCAGCCCCTTGTCATTTTCGGTCACAACTTGCCGACAAAGTCTCTGAGACTCAAAGACCCCTACACATAGTACATACTCATACATTGCCACTGAAGACAACCCATGGTTGAAAATCATTTCTTGTATATTATGAAGTTGGAGGTGCAATTAGACCTTGCCTAGCCTTCCACTAGTCGTTAACCCCGGTTCATCTAATGTGGTCGGTGTTTTTGTGTTTCGAATCCTTGTGACTCGGGTGTACTGGGATGTGCAGGAATGATCTGTGGAGGGCTACATGCACGCAGGCTGGGACTCCAGAGTCCAGTCTCATTGTAGAGTCAATCTGTCCATTTCAGGGAATGCGATAGCTTTTTTTTTTTTTTTTTTTTTTTTTTTTTTTTTTCTCAAACCAGGTGCTTTTTTTTCTCTAATCACCAGAGGTTTTTCAGCAGTTTTTCCCTGATTATTTTGTCCTATACTGCTAGATAGTAGTTCGAACCACGAACGGAGGCCGGCCGGAGTAGTTTCATTTGATTCAAATCCGGTTCCGTGTTGGTTAAATTCAAGTCTGGAAAGTAAGTCGGAGAGCGGGAGAGGAAGGAGGCAACCTCAGGTGGAAATTGTACAGCTCGTGTTGTGTATCGGTGAATAATTGTATGGAATAGCTCTCCTTATCTTGTCTTATCATTTTTAATATTTCAGTGAAATAAATAAAAGGAGGGAATATGGCGCTTGGGAGGTTCCTGCAAAGATATGGGTCCCTGCGGAGAGCGAAGCTCTGCTCAGCGTCTCGTTGGCGGCATTGCTGTAGTGCGGTTTTGTCTGGAAGTGACACGTGGCACAGGCCGAGCAGCGGCATTGGGAGTAGGAGAGGAGGGAATGCCCTTGACTCTGGTGTGAGCGAAGCGGAAGATGTCAGTGCAATGGGACTGGATCGTTCTCAGTCGGTCCCGAGTCCCAGTTTTCTCCTCGGTTCCAGAAGATGGTTTTCGGCGGAAAGATCATCTGCATATGCGGCTGCGTCACCCAAGAAGGATGAAAAGGTGAAACCAACTGACTGACCGTTGCCGCACTGTTGATAAAAAAATTGGTCATGGTATTAGTATTCTCCAAAAAAAAGGGGAAAAAGAAAAGAAGTTAAAAAACTTCAAAAACGTGGAAAAAAAAATTCTATACTATTTATGAGGTGTGCTTTCTGTGGGAGTTCTCATCCGTCCACCTCCTGCTTTTGCTCTTTTCGTTTTGTTTATTGAACTTTATTGAAGTTTATTCTCCTTTTTTTCGTTTTTTTCGCTTGTTCCTGGTTCCTTCCTTTTATCTCGCGGGGGAAGCATCACTTGGTTTTCTGTGTAACGTACTGTGATGATCTCTCTCTGTGCAAACACTGCAGGGCATTTGCTACCATTGACTGTTTTGCTCATTAGGGTTCGCTAGGACTATGCATCTCCGACATTTATGACTCGTGTTGAACTGGAAGTCCACGCTCGCAGTCAGTACGTCTCAAATTGCCATTCGAGATATGGTTCTGTTCTACTCTGTGACACGCACAGTAACCAATCATGGAAATGCTCTTGGTATATGATCATCTCTTCAATGGCGGCACATGTGGCAAGCTGTGAGTAGAATGTCGTAGCAACCACTAGATAAGGGACACCAGTGCTAAAATGGATGCAACCGAGAATTCTCAATGCACCTGCTACAGACTACAGTCCACATTCATTGGTGTACACATGGTCTGGGTATGAACTCATAGCAGATACTTGCACAGTTGTTGTTCCTTAATGCATTTCACTGGAAGATGTGTGTGTGTGTGTGTGTGTGTGTGTGTGTGTGTGTGTGTGTGTGTGTGTGTGTGTGTGTGCTTGCGTGCGTTTAGAGTGTCAACTGAACAAGCCCTTGTCCACCCAGATGAGAAGATCCAAAATTGGAACAGCCATACCTTAATATTTTTTTATTAAGTCAATAATACTTGATATATATGTATATTTTTTCTGAAAATGATTGTAACGTTTTGAGAATTGAAATGTTCCGATGAAACGGCTGTTCATTGTTGTATTCTGAAAGGTGCAAGACCCACCTATGTGTGTGTGTACTGAGAAAGGGTAGACTTTGGTGAGTTGGCCTGTTGCTAGATAATGTTAGGTAAATTGACACACTGGAATTCAAAATGGGGATGATCAAATTAAGCAAGGTCCCAGGAGAAGACAAGAAACTTATTGCGAAGTTTTTGTTCGACTGCTTGTTGTTTTTTTTGTTTTTTTTTTTGTGTGGGCATGAGCAGAAGCCGCCTCCATTCTCAAAGGTGCTTGTAGCAAACAGAGGAGAAATTGCATGTCGAATTATTCGAACCGCGCGAAGGATGGGAATGCGAACGGCAGTTGTCCATAGCGACGTCGATGCTGACAGCAGGCATGTGCGAATGGCAGACGAGGCAGTCTGTGTGGTATGTTCTAGCTTTCCGATTCTGCTTGCGTTTGCTCCTGCCATTGCCTTGACTTCGTGTTCAGGATCATTCAGCTCGTTTTGGGATATGCTGCAGTTCAGATGGGTTGCAGGTAACCCCGGGAAAAAAAAAAAAATAATAACTTATGGGTTGCAGATAACTATTCCTTGCTCCAAGAGGGGCATATTGCCTCCCACATACTTTTGAAAACTATTTACTTTTCAAAAGTTTGCATGACCTCTGTGCTCCAAAATGAATAGGGCGGGAAGGGGGGGGGTGGAAGGCGTGGTGTTGCTGGAGCGGCCAAGGGAGGGAGTGGAAGGGCACCTACGGGATTAAACGCGTCAGAATTACAAGTTTGGTATAGTCAATCGTAGGATGTGGGCAGGAGGCATGTGTGTAAATGGCAGACGAGGCAGTCTGTGTGGTATGTTCTCGCATTCAGCTTCTGTCTGCCCTTACTCTTGTCTATCCCTTCACTATCTATGTGTCGTAAAGACTCGGGTTTCGCTTTTGGATGTGCTGCATTTCAGATGGGTTACAGGGATTGATTCCTTGAGGGCATATTACCTCCACATCCATGAAAATGAAGGATCACTTTTTAAAAGCTTGCAATAGTAGATGGGAGATGCACAATGTAATTTTGATGGATGTTATAGATAGGTATATAGGGGAAAGGAATAGGAAAATGCTGGGGCCATTAATGGCAGAAATGTACAATGTGACTCTGATGGATGATATAGATAGGCATAGAAATGCTGGGGCTATTAATGGTGGAAGGCAGAACACGAAATTTGACTTTGAGGATGGGTATAGAATCTATAGATAGATACATGGCGGTTGAAACAGAAACCGTGTAAGCTTTGAAGTCGCGATAAAGCTAGGTAGGCTCTGGAGTAGCAGGAAATAGATGATGATTGGACAAGCAGGCCTCAGGGACTACCCCGGAACATCCCCCCCCGGGGTCCTGCCCAGCGGTGGACTACCCTATTGTGTGTCTGGGCGCTGCAAGTAAGCCTTCCAGCCAATAGGGTAGCCCACTGGGGGAGGGCAATGGTTGGGGTGGGGAGTGCGGTGCGGCCCCCCCTTGCTTAGGCGACCTAGTGCAAGCAGACCTCAGGGACTACCCCGGAACATCCCCCCCCGGGGTCCTGCCCAGCGGTGGACTACCCTACTGTGTGTCTGGGCGCTGTAAGTGAGCCTTCCAGCCAATAGGGTAGCCCACTGGGGGAGGGCAATGGTTGGGGTGGGGAGTGCGGTGCGGCCCCCCCTTGCTTAGCTGACCTAGTGCCGCAAGGGTTAGGCCGACCCTCTTTTTCTGTCTTTTTCTCCCATTGTTTTTGTACAAACACGCTTGTCGGGGATAAGCAACCGGATTGTTGCCCCCCAGAATAGAAGGGGCCTGTGTTGGTTCGAAAAAAAAAAAAAAAAAAAAGAAGCTTGCAATGAAATACGTACTCCAAGAGTCCTAGGTGTACATGCACGACCATTTGGTTTACCATCTTAAAAAACAAACAAACAAACAAACAAACAGAACGTTACGGTTCTGGCTCCTTTCCATTCTGGGGAGCATCAGTCCGGTTCCTCTTTTTTTAAATTGCATCAGTCCGGTTCCTATTCCACTGGCAAGTCAAAAAAAATTACATCAGTTAGACACCAATGCTCCTCCTCATTATAGTTGAGAGGCCTGAGTGGACGGTATTGATGCAAGGAACCCGACTGTTCATCACTTGCGGGAGTGCATCAGATCACATGCATATACACTGATTTCACAGATTGCGAAGACTCACACAAAACCCAACAGAAGATGAATGAGAACCAGGAAGCTCAACTCAATTATCAAACCCAGAATTAGAGAGAAAACATCGTGAGTTGAAAGTGTATAGCGCTGAACAGAGTTCAAGTCTTCTTTAGTCATCACGAGTTCCAAGCCTGGCACTCATCAGCGTCAGCTGCCAAACGTTAACAACAGCGCTCAGCAGGTAAGTGTCACCATAGCTCACACTTCCCCCCTCTCTCGTCTGCCTTCTTCTCTCTCTCTCCCTCTATGTCTATAGTCCTGGTCTACCCTCACTCATCATGCATGCACACTCCCTTCACGAGGATCTACTCTGAATACTACTCACTGGTATCTCCTACTGACTATCCCTACTAACATACTAACTAGCACCGGTGCAGCTATGGCTGCCTTCCCTCTTGCCAGCACTCTCTTCCTTCCTTCAAAGCGTTGCTCTTCAGCCTAGCACAGCTCACACACATCTGGCGCACAAGTGCCATGGCACTTCCACACTCTCATGCGAAGTGAGCATCTGCCAAATGGGAGGCTGGCCAGTCCTTTATAGTGCTGGACTGGTCTGGCGTGGCCTGCGTTCAGCCTCAAGTGTGCTGGACTGGGACTGTAGCCTTTGACTTCTTGCCGAACAGACATGACTTTTTATTGAAGAGACATGACCCTAACTCAGTCTTGAAAACTGTGTCCGATACCTGTTCGTGCAGGACCTGTTTGTGACTGTTCGAAACGACTTTTCATTTCATTATGGATGCGACATATGCCTCAGGGAACTTTGTCCTTTGAGTTGCTGCTCGTGAATTTAAGATCTGGCCGACAGGGCCCCTCACTGTTGGGGTGTTCTTCTGGGGTCTAATTCGTAAAGGCCCTTTTATTGATGTGGTTTACCATCTCACTTCTGAAAAGTTTGCGAATATTTTTCAAAAGTTTGCAATGAAAGCTGTGCTCCCTAAGGAACATAACGGACCGTTTTGTTTACGCAACTTTACGGTCTTACTTTTGAAAAGTTTGCGCATGAATTCCGCACTCCCAGGTGAACGTACCTGACCGTCTTTCATTTTGTCATTTGTCCACTGTGGTCATAAGTTTGGGGGGGAAACAACGGGGTCGTCACAGGTTTGGGGGGGGAACAACGGGGTCGTCACAAGTTTGGGGGAGAAACAACGGGGAAAGGTGGGCAAGGCGAGGGTGTGGAAGGGCCCCCATTGCTGCCCAATGGGGTTAAAGTTCGTTATCGATGGTCAACCTCAACATCATACAGTTGGGAGTACGTCATAGTCAATCATAGATAGACAAGCAGATTGTGAAATGAGACTTGTCTTTTTTTCTTTTTTTTCTTTTTTTTCTTTTTTTTCTTTTTTTTCTTTCCCCCCTCCTCCTTTGTCTTTCTAGGTTTCTATCCAATTAAATCTCTTTGATAGAGGCGGAAGGGAAACATTCAGAAAATAGGTAATTACTTTTACCACAGAAACACCTCCTGGCAAACGCCCCAGGCGGTGAAACGGCTGCCAGGCCTTTTTCTGTTTCTCTTCGTCTTCTTTTTTGTATTTCGTCGTTTGGCCGGTTTCACTTTGTGATTTTCTGACACGTATCGCCTTTCTTGTTTTGCCAGGGACCTGCAGCCCCTGCGCTCAGTTATTTAAATATAGATGCTGTGTTGGATGCCATCAAGTCAACTCAGGCAGAAGCGGTGGGTTCCTCTCCCCCTTCAACCCATTGCTTTTCTATGTGTGATAGCATATATCTTTCTTCTTCTTTTTTTTTTTTTTTTTTTTTTTTAATTGAAGGGGCAAAATATCATCATGCACTGAACGCGGCCACCAGATAATCAAGAGTTTTTTTTTTTTTCTTGCCCACATCTGGATTCGAACTTGGGTCTGGAATTCAACAGTTCATGGGTGTGCCAACTGAGCTTGGCCTGGTGGTGTATGTCGTTCTTCTGAATCTGAATCACATCCCATCGTTTTTTTCTTTCCTTTTTAAGCATTTGCTATAATTTTGTCCGTTTCCTGCGTCCTGATAAAACAGAAAAGAATAATATATGTTCTGTTCTCTGCACAGTTTTCCATAGTGATGCTTCTACTTGCCTCTTGTGCGTTTTCACAAAACAATGCGCAAGAGCAGGAATTCTGGAGTCAGGTGGGGTCGGCGTCCCATGGACCTATCTTCACGACGTTGTGCACGGGTCCGAATCCCGTGGACCCATTTTTTCATGACGTAGTGTGGCTGGACTTTGGGCATCTTGCGGGCAAAGAGAAACACCATGTGCTATCTTCCTTGGGATGGGAGAGTTGTGGGCATCTTGATCCTACATCTGTATGAGAGAGGTGAATAGATGTGGGCAGGAGGCATGTAGGATGTGTGGCAATCTCCTAGGAAAAATGTTGAATTGTGAGAATAATAGAATATAGATACAGGAACCAGTGGGAACACACGGAATTGTCTGTTGTGGCGGGAACAAATGTGAAGAGCCGTGGCTGATGGCCACAAGGATCAAGGATAGTTTGTATGCTGATTTCCTTGGAGATGAGACAAGATGCCCAGGACAGGAGAGAGAGAGAGAGAGAGAGAGAGAGAGAGAGAGAGAGAGTCTCATGAATGTTGTGAACAAACAGGGGGGGTGGGCTACTTGAGTGACTGCGGTCGTGAATGATGGGGAGAAAAAGCGAGAGAGTTTGCTGTGTGAATATGTAGCCCTTGTGTACTGCTCTTGGCCGCTGTTATTATTTTGAAATTTTATTATTGTGGTGTATTTGATTTATTGTTGCGATTCTTTAACTACTATTTTTATCATTTCGTATTGTCATGTAGTGCAACCTTACAGTTGGTTCTGTTTTGTTGTGTGCTACCATGCTAGTGGTTAAGAGACTTGGCTCTTGAGGCCCAGGTCGTCGGTTCGAATGTAGCTTGAATGGAGGAGGGGCTTGGGCCCAGATGTACAGATCATACTTGCTGCGCACTGGTGCAGTGCGCCCTGCGGAATGCGCGCGGTGACACTGCGCGCGCATGTGCGTGCGTGCGCACGAGGTGCGCCGTGCGCGCAGCGCATGGGGACGCGCTACCCCTGCAAGGGTGCGCACTGTGAGCCATGCCGTTTTTCGGCGTGTGTGTGTGTGTGTGTGTGTGTGTGTGTGTGTGTGTGTGTGTGAGAGAGAGAGAGAGAGAGAGAGAGAGAGAGAGAGAGAG